AATGAGAGATTATATGGACAGGCGGGTTACCCCACCTAAGCGGGTTACCTCACCTACCTGGGGTCCCCCACCTCCATGTAAACAGGCCCTTATTGTTTCTACATTATCCCTGATAGCTTTGCGTACCGAAGTGAAAAGCCATACGGTGTTGTATGAACCGTAACGGCACGGTAACTATAGGAACAGCTCGGCAACACATATTGAACATCAAACTAGGCGGGTTGGCCGAGAGGGCTTGGTGCACAATCCTAATCCTCAATCCTGAATATTTACTTCCGTCTCAGTGGGTTTCAGTCTTCGCTCTCACTCATTTACTTCTGCTGCGGTCTGTGTAGGAGACTGGTTATGAGAGCCGGCAAACATCACAGTTGAAAACAACGGTCCTGTATGTTATGTTGGGCATGGCATCGTATGGTTTTTTAATTCGCAAATTGTGACTGAATAAATTATTGCGATGTTTCTATTGGTCAGTAAGTTAAAAAAGATAGGAATGCTATTGAACGTTTTGCACGGTCAGGTCCAAAGAAATTTAACAAAAACAGTGAGTCATATAACAAAGGAGTCTAATGGGGTTTCACAACCAATCCACTTTAATGAATATGTCGAAGATTATTCCCGTCAGAAATAAAGTGCTTTCACGAGCTGATGATCAAAATACAAAAAAAGCTACGAAAGTGCCCCGTGCTCCAGACCAGCGATGGTTTGTTGTCGGTATGTGATCGAGCAAACCGAGATAACGACACATTTGGACAGAATTTATCGAAAATACGTGTAAAACAATCGCGCGAGATGTGATATGTATCATTTGGAACGAGTGACAAAAAAACTTTAAAACCCAGAAATTGATCTGTTTTGATTTAAATTTTCCCACCTTGCGCACGTGTCCATTGTATTTACAGAAAATCGTTCTAACGTAAAAAATTTTTGTTCACAAACCTGTTCTGTGCTAAGTTTGTCAAATTTGGCGATTTTATGTCAAAAATGGGGAGCAAGGGATGGAGCAGTGGTGAGAGCACTGGCCTCCCGCCAATCTGGTCTGGGTTCCGCAAATTCTGGCGTCGAATCCATACGTGTATAGAGTTTGTTGTTGGTTCTCTCATTTGCTCCGAGAGGTTTTTCTCCGGGTACTCCGGTTTTACCCTCTCCTCAAAAACCAACATTTCCAAATTCCTATTCGACCAGGAATCACGTAGACGAAAGCTCACGAAGAACCACTTTGTGGATGTGCTACCTCTAAATCGTTGGTTATTTTATTTATTTATTTATTTGAAATGGTCAATATCTTCTCGTTCTAAGGTGCTTGTACTGTCCTAAGCAATGACACGTCCAAGTGACACCCTTCATTGCCTTTGTGAACTGACTTCATTTACAGCAATCAAAGTTACAACCTATATCGAGTATACAACACTAGTAGTAAGTAGTTTTTAATTGTACTGTGCGACAGTACAATTGCATCGCGTGTTACACCAATTTACGTAATTATGTAACAGCAGTAACGGAATGAAATGTATTACGCGTCACCAGTTTAGATAGTTATGGTGATCGCTCAGTCCTCCCCAGAGGCTCCCGCTGGGTATCCCCAATCGAAATATAGCAAGCGCGCGGGGGACGATGGGAAGATGGAAAAGGCCTCTCTTCTCCCTTTCCTTTTCCCATCCTGCCCCGCTCCCTTTCTTTTTCTTTCTCCCCACCCTCCTTACGATACAAAGAGGCCTCTGGGGAGGAGAGAGTGGTAATCGCATTTTCAATATTAAAGCCAAATAAAATGTCTAGGTGAATCTGGAGCGGTAATCCCATATTCAGCACACTGACAACGAACTAGTAAAAATGTAGGGATTGGTAATAATTAAGACATTTTGTAGATGTTCATAGTGGATGCCGGTGATAAAACCAAGTGGAATAATCTATCCCAAAAAAGTAACTGGCTTGATAAAAATAACATCCTACTATACGTACCGCATAATACATTCAAAATTAGTTGAGTTTTGTTAACTTTTTGGAATACAAACAGGTGCAAACAGCTCTCTTCGCTAAATAATAATTCTGGCAAAATTACTACTTTTTGAAACGAGCTCTCATACGGTCAATAAAATGAGAGGTGCCCAGACTCTTCAAAATATTAATCATTTCATTGATGGACACAATTTGTTTCAGACGAAAAGGACATAATGTTGCTAAATAAAGGTGACTGAAACGCCATTTCGCAAAATAGTAATTCTGGAAAAATTGCTACTTTGCGAAATGAGTTCTAGTACGATCAATAAAGTGACAAGTGCCCAGGTTGTTTGAAATATTAATCATTTCTGATTGGTGGCCACAATTTGTTTCAGACCAAAAGGACATACAGTAAGCACCGGCATATAGGAACACATGATTTCAGGGTTTAGGCCGATCTAGTTCTTATTTATCGGGTGCCTAGTGAGAAATCAGCCTGGAGATGTTTTTAATAATTATGTTCTTAAACTTTGTTTTAGAAATACTATACATATCATGTTGCCGTTTTAGAGGTTTAGCTAGCATATTTTATTATAAATAAATAAGTAAGCAAACAAATCAGTAAATCAACAAATAAAATAAAAATCTGTCAGGTAGTAAACTAGCAGCAACCACAGTTACATTGTACTTCTGGCAAAATTATTACTTTGCGAAATGAGTTCGAGCACGGTCAATAAAACGACAGGTGCCCAGATTGTTCGAAATACTCATCATTTTATTGGTGGAAACAATTTGTTTCAGACGGAAAGGACATATTTGCTAAATAAAGGTGAAAAGACGCCATTTCGCAAAATAGTAATTCTGGTGAAGTTACCGCGACTGCGCGCAAAAGGTAAGAATCCTTTATTATCCGTCAACTAATTACTTCCAACACAAAAATCAGGGAGGCATGATAGCGCAGTATAGCGAGAATTTGCTAAAGGTCTTTAGTAGACTACGCTAGGATTATGGTGCCAAATTGACGATGTAAATAAGTGATGCACTTGTATGGTAAGCTTTTGGCAAAATCAGGCCACTCTAATGGATTTCCATCATGGTTAATTTATCTTAACAGTACAACCCTGGTTACACTTTCGTTTTAACCTTCTAATTGAATTTCCAGGTGATGCCTACAAGCCATAACCTTTGACAATTATATTATCGCAAGAACATAAACCAGTTGACACATTTTAAGGTTGTAATAACCCCCAAAACATACGAATTGTTATATCTTGTTGACATTATAAAAGCCGGTGACAAATTAGCGGAAGTACAAAACTAGTTGACACATTTTTTTTTTGCCCACATAAAACCTAAGCATATGAAACTGTATGGGCTCGCATTGCGGTAGAACGGACTATACAACCTTTTGCCGAGCAACATTCGCAATTCGTCCTCACTTTCGCGGTTAAAATCTTCTCTAAGAGACTTCTGATCAGAAAAGTGCCTGTAAGCAAATTACTTCACATTTGATTCAATTTTATTTGGTTTTTTTTGTTTCTTATCATTATTAATATTACTGTAGGTTTAGCTCTTATTGTAATTTATTGTAAGTCCCTCTGTGTAGAGCCAATAACAAAGGTTTTTTTGTATTTGTATTTATATATAACCAGAACCAGAGCACCCAAAAAGTCACATTTGATTTTAACCCCCAGTTTTGGGGAAAATACCGTAAAATTTCGAAAATAAGCCCCTCCATGTAAAAGCCCCTCCAAATATAAGCACCCCAAACTCTTAACGCAAAACCCCTCCGTTAAATCGCCCCTCCAAATATAAGCCCCCCCCCCCCCGGGGGCTTCTACTCGGAAATTGCCCTCAAATACAAAGTAAAGCAATGCAAAATCGTCAAATTTCCTTCCAACTATTAGGCTAGCCCAATCGATTTTGAAACGCAAATTTCCCTCAGTAGATAAGCCCCTCCGATTATACGCCCCTCCAAAAATAAGCCCCTCAAAAAGGGCTTTTGAAAAATATAAGCCCCGGGGCTTATTTTCGGAATTTTACGGTATTTTTGGGCAGCTTAAAATTAAATCCCTTAAAAATAAAAAGAAAATTAATAATCATAAAAAAAATTTCATCAGATAGCGTTCGCGAGCTAGAAATAATTTGCCAAAGGTACGTTAAGTCTTCTACTGGAGAGGTCCGCTTAAACGGGGAGGGGTAAGTATGTCCCTAGTCTAAATATCAAATACGGTCGTCTCGCGTTTTGAGGGGGTAGGCCATTTCCCTGTCCGTATTTTAATCCATCTTTAAGTCGTTTGTCGCTATTTCATCCAGTCTTAATTTCAAGTTCAAGTTCATTTATTCACACTCATTCAATTAAAATACAACGACAATAAGAAAAAAAGAAGTAAAAACAGAGCTAACTTTACATTGAATTAAACATAAAAAAGTAAACATGTGTTTAGCATGCAAAAGAGCCAAGCTTTCGAGTTGGCTACTGCAGTTATCATTAGGCTTCGTACATGATTTTTTTTCTGAGTAAAAGCATTCATAATTTTGTGCGTGAAGGCGGCCCACGTCCGATTATATTAAAATTCTAACATGACCTCAAAGCTTTCTGGCCATTTTTTTATATTTGGTTTGGTTTTCTTTGTGCTCAAGTCCCTTCTGGGAATTGCGAGACAAAGCCAAAGATGCATCTAAGCCTAAAAGCGAAGCTTCCGTTTATATACATATCAGTTTTATAATTTACTTAAATCAATTAACTATTAACCAATAAACTTCAAGCCATTGCAAAGTAATCCACATTTCTATAATTAACTTTTGGAGGAAAGGGTTGGGTGCATTCAAAAAAAAAGAGAAAGAAATTAAATAGAAAAATCGGATATAATATATCCAAAAACTGGCCTTCTGTAACTAAGCTAACTTTCTAGCATCTTTAGGTTTCCAATTTCAATGTTAATTGAGTCTGCTCGCGGAATCCGGCTATAAATTTCTTATATTTTACGGCGCACTTGTTTTATTTGCAGTTGAATCCTCGAGAATAAACCTGAGCGCCCGATTGCCTTACGGAAAAACAGGAAATGGGTGCTTCATTGGACGAATACCCACAGTTGATCATGGAGCTGTCTGGCCGCAGTACTCCAGTAAAGATAACAGAAGCAGCGATCCTCGTTTGTCTCATTCTTTTAGCCTTTGTAGGCAATGTTTTGGTGTGCATCGCTGTCTTCAAAAAAGCTCATCTCCGCACGATTCCAAACATGTTTATAATGAATTTAGCAGTGAGTGATATTCTGATGGCCATCGTTTGTATGCCTATTTCTTTACACGTTCTAATTTCTGGCAAATGGCCATTTAGCTCGTCAGTGTGTGATATGCATGGCTTTTTCATTTTTACTTTTGGCATAGTCTCGCAAGTCAACATGTCTGTCATCGCCGTAAACCGTTATTTCGCTCTGTGTCGTCCATTTCAATGTAAAGCCATTTTTACCAAGACAAATGTCCTCTCCATGATCGCAATTCTTTGGATCTTACCAAGCGTTGCAAGCGTCCCACCTCTGGTTGGCTGGGGATATTACGCCTTTCACCCTGGCAAAGCGTTGTGTATCTACCCGTTCCACCTTAATATGATCTACGCGATGATCATCAAAATTCTCTTTATCGCATTCCCAATGGGACTCATCGTGTTCAGCTACACGAGATGCATCCTTGCCATCAAATCAAGCAATCGTCAAATCGCGGAAATGTCTGACGACCCAACTTCTGCTGGTCAAGAGTCCAGAAAAGCGCGCGAAGTTCGCGCCACCTGGACAATGCTGTTTTTCACTCTGGGTTTCAGTATGTGTTGGTTACCAGTATCTGTCATTAGCTTCATAGAAACGTTCGGGGCAGGCGGGAATTTACCACGCCAAGTGTTCATTTTTGACAGTTTCCTCATCTTTCTATCAAGCACGATCAATCCGTTCATCTACTGCCTGTCAAACCGCGACTTCAGAAAAGCATTCCGGGAAGTGAT